CCCCACCCCTATTTAATATGTCTAAAAGGGTAAAAAAGCTGAAGTGGTATCTGTGTCAGCTTTATTTGGATGTCGTATTGTTCCAGCAAGTAATTAACAGCATAACTCAGGAACACAGTGACAGATGTGTGATCATACTTCCTCATGTGGTCGGTGAACCTTATTTCAGAGCTTTCTGCCATGGATACAGTTTGGTATTCCAATACGCTCCGTCTGCACAGGACGTGGATTGCTCATTGTGCATCGTTTGGTGCTGACTGTTTGTTGCTAGCAGACATTCCAGGCTCCGGTTACCTAGATAACTTTGTAATATATATTTTTTTATACCTGGTTGTTAGATTTGTATTGTTTATTGTCATTTATGCTTAGAAATATCTACTCATATATGCTTAGAGTTGTATAATCAGAACTTTGCCTACTTGGTGTTTAATGCTTTTTGCTGTGTAGTTGAATTGTCCTTAACGTTCCAGCGAATAGGTTTGTAGCATAAACCTATCACTGGTCATATGTCAGCTAGTGGTATCCTGCCTTCTCATTGGTAATTCCTTCAGTCGCTCGCATTGGGAGTTGATTTTTCCCGGAGCTGGTCAATTCACATCGCCAGCAGTTTTCTCACTTATAATAACTTGAAGTCGTCGCTGTTGTCTTGTTTGAATTTTGCTTTTGAAAATGTGGAATCTAAGCATAGTAACTGTTAATTAGGCTGCTACCAACATGGCTAAGCCTGCGCCCTTTTGCCAAGGGAGTATCTATGTTTGTTTTTTTTAAATGACAAAGACCTAAAAAATTTCAAGGTTATTCTAATTTTATTTTGAGGCACGAGACAAGCATTCACATGAATCCCAGCAGGAAGTCTCGTCCTTGAGGCAGCAGTGCTACACTCGGCTAGTCGAGCATAGCCTGTCCCATATGTTTAGTCACCAGGTTGTCATTGTGCTTCAGGAATGTTTGGTTGGCCACAGGGTGCGAGACCATTGTGCAAAACAGAATGTTCAAAACAGTTTTTGACTGTCGTACATTTGCTCCGTGATGTTTTCAGGGTCATTTTCTTCTCATTCAAAATGTTCTGCCCCTTGTCAGTGAGTCCGTTTAAATAACCTGCAGATCAGGTTGGGATTGGTAATGAGTTGTTTTCCTGTCCACTTTCAGGTTTGCCCCAGACAAAGAGTTCTCAGGCGCCGACCACGGGCAGAGGCGCGAAGGACCCGTTCAGTTTGAGGAGGATCCCTTCGGTCTGGATAAATTTTTGGAGCAAGCCAAGCAGCACGGCGGCTCTAAGAGGCCATCCACTAGCAACCGCTCCAAGGATGACTACCACGACAAGAAGCGCAGGAAGGAGTGAGAGCAGCTCGGTGCACTTCTCATACAGAGGGGGAGTCGGTGCATCCCCTCAGCGGTTGAGGGGTGTCGTGGTATACAAGTATCTGTCAGGACTGGACATTAAGATTGATGTCTTCTTTCAGTGTGAAAGAGGGTGTGAGGCTGTGTAAAACGCTTTTGTTTATTTTTTTGTCTATTAGACTTTATTAACCCATGTTGAGCATTTGTTGTGAGGCAAAGTATGAGTGGGCTCCGCATCTGAAACATTAGTCTTTCATTTCATATGTGGCTGGGAATGGTGATAACTGACCCTGGGAAAATGTAGATTTTAGTCACTGTCTGCTTTTGTTTTTATAAACCTGTAATGCTGAAGGTTACAGAATAAACTCAACAGGAATTCCTCAGTATTTACCCCCTTTTTTTCTCACTTTCTCCTCACATTCCCTCCTTCTGTTTGTTATGGCAGTGTTTTATTTAAACCCCTCGTACATTTGTGAGCACAGTCCCTATTTTATGGCAGATGTGTACAGCAGCTTACATGTATCTAGAAGATATAAATCCAGCCAAATTTATAGTTCTTGTACATTACTACCAATGGATTAAATTTCATATCGTGTGTAACTGCTGTGCTTTTTTTAATTAGTAAACAAGTTCGACTTGTCTTTCCTTGTCAGTTATTTTTAGTCCGGTTAAGCTTCAGTTATTCTAAACTTTTCCAACATAGTGGGAAGTCCATTAGTTGTGTAATTGGCATAGTTTGTACATAGTAGATTTCCATTATTTTAATCACTTCCTGAGTAATGCAGCCCATTTACATAGATGATTAAATGCCTGAAATGCATTCAGCAAAGCCATCAATTACAGTGTGTGAGTAGTTTTCAGGGCTTTTTCCCCCCCACTAGAAATTGGCTGTGCGATTTATGTGATGATTAGGCTAAAACTAGTTCAATTAATTACAATTAATTATGATTTATGCAGCCTGACAGTTTTATTTTCCCTGGCTCTGGAAAATAATCAGCGTGGCATTACACAGCCCAGTGGACTCCAAAATCTTTGCACCATGCCATTTTCCACTGATGCTTGAAAAGGGACAAACAGTGGTTACATGCACAAGACTGTTCTTCAGTGGGCGCTGTTTGTGGGTATCGACTCCTGCACGGTTCTGAATGCGATTGTTATGTTGCACATCTTTTTACCAGCAGGTGAGAAATTATAGCCTTAAGCCACAGCTACACAGGAGGCTTAGTGTTGAGCTGAAGGTCATCTGCAATAATACTTAGTCCTGTATTTATGCACTCCTGGGGTCGTACTCGCAGCTATCAAATATCAGCTATTGTACAGCCACTTTGGATAGCTGGCTTTTTTCTTTTTTAAAGAAAGTATGTTTTCTGTTGGACGTGAGAAAGATCAGATACTGATGCAAACCAGAGGTTATTGGAAAGGTCATTCCAAAACTGAAGACCTCTAAATACCAAGTTAGGATATCCCAGTGTAATTCATTTTAAAGACAGGTGTAGTGCGGCCTGCAGGCCAATGATAACAGTTTATTGTACGTGCAGATGTCACAAGGAAAGGGCGTACTACTGTACACTTACTTCATACACTGTTTAGCACACAACAAATAAACCAAAGCCAAACACGACTGAATCTATTTCTTTAGTTTTCATAGCAGACCAAGTCTTCCTAACATTAACAAATACAGTGAGTTTCAAGGAATTTCCAAGTCACAGCCCCCACCCCACGAAATTGCAACTAAGCTTTTCGATCCTAGCCCTAAAGGAACACTTTGCACCATTTCCATAAAACCTAAAGTTGCTTAAACTTTTAAAACCTGCTTTGTCTGCCAGAATTTAAATGGAGATGACAAATTTGCACTCAGCCCTTAAGCTTGTTCCTTTTCCATTTAATATTTCAACTGAGCACAGATCCTGAAATGATACTCCATATATATTAAGGGTGTAAATAACACAAGACCATTGTACACATTTACATCTATAGTAGGAATGGCACTGACGATCCAAACTGCATATGTAGTTGTAAAGAAAAAAGTTTTCACCGAACTCTTTGCAGCCATGAAAAGCTAAGTACTGCCTCACCGCTTCCATAAGAGGATGTTAAGTGTGAGCACCTCTGTAAAAGCAGCAGTTTAAGCAGTTTGTCGGTCTGAAGCATTCAGGCGTGTTTGAGCACAATGACACAATCGTCCCAGTAAATCCACTCCAAGGTCAGACGGTGCAATGCTCAGAGAAACTGCAGCAAATCCAAGAGCCACATCTCAGACTCTACAGTCTCAGTTGGCATGATGAACGTTAACGTTCGTGACAGTACAGCTGGAAAAAGATTGAACAAGTGTGGCTTGTTTGGGAGGGTTGATAGGAGAGAGAGAGATGTTAGCACAGTTAGGCTTTGCAAAGTTGCATCTGAATAAAGCAAACAGCATATCAGCACAAACACGTCATATCAGGTGTTAAACATGGTGGTGGAGG